GGACTCCATATGAAAACTTCTTAGCCATAATCAAACACCTGAGGGAATGAGTCACTGGGCCTGGGGTCTCAAGAACATAGTCTTGGAACATCAAGTTCAGTTGGCATAACATAGCTCACAAAGACAGTGTCCTACATCCTACTTTGATGAGGAGTGACTGGGATCTTAAAATAAAATCCTATAAGCAACCATCTAAAGTATAACTATTGGTCTTCCCCATCTGGAGCAAAAAAGAGTGAAGAAAGATAAAGACTAATAGACCATGACAAACCCAGCTTCCATAACCCTGAAGCCAGAAGATCTAAATTGGGCTCAGCTACCACTACTGGCTAAGGAGTTCTGGTAGCGTAGTGCTTACGAATCGGGGTGTGAACCGCAAGGTCAGCAGTTTGAAACTACCAGCTGCACTGTGGGAGAAAGATGAGGCTTTCTGCTCCCATAAAGATTTACAGCCTCAGAAACCCTGTTCAGGGTCACTATGGGTCGGAACTGACTCGATGGCACTTAACAACCACAACAACAATCACTACTGGCTTCTCTAAAAAGGATAGCATTAGAAAGGCCTTTATAAAATGTGTGTGTGGAGGGGCGGGGATGAGGACTGAAACTCAACTCAAAATCATGAGAAAAAAAAAAAAAGGATAGAGGCTGGTAGAACCTTTGGGACAATGACCCTTAAACACCATTCAAGCCTGGAACCGAACTCAACTCTGTGGCTCAACTTTCAACCAAATGATTGGCTTCTGAGGTGAACAGTAACACCAGGGGTTAAGAGTTGATGAGAACAATCAACCATACAAGATCAGAAGGGCAGCATTTACTCAAGGATAAAGCTCAGAAGACAGGAAAGGACAGGAAAGAAGAAGGAAGGAAAATGGTAAACATAGGGAGAAAGTGGGAAGAGTGGGGATTGCAGTCAGCGTCACAAAACAAAATATGTATTGTTGAAAAAGCAATTTGTTCTGTAATCTTTCACCCAAATCACAATATATATATAATGTTGTGTCGTCTGCCTATCGCAGATTTGCTAAGTCTCTCCAATTCTCATAGCGTGTTCTTCTTCACAGAATCCAGCTTCTTGAATTATTTGCTCAGCATACAGATTATGAAGTGTTGTTGTTATGTGCCGTGGAATCGGTTCCGACTCATAGCAACCCTGTACAGGGTTTCCGAGGCTGTAAATAATCTTTATGGGAGCAGAAAACCTCATCTTTCTCCCATGGAACAGCTGGTAGTTTCGAACTGCTGACCTTGAGGCTCGCAGCCCGATTCGTAACCACTACGCACAGATTATGAATAAGTATAGTGAAATGATACAACCCTAGCACACGCCTTTGCTGATTTTAAACCATTTAATTTACCTTTGTTGTAGTCAAACAACTGCCTCCTTGGTCTATGTACAGGTTCCTCATAAACACAATATTAAGTGTTCTGGAATTCCCATTCTGCATAATGTTATCCATAGTTATGATCCACACAATCAAATACTTTTGCATAGTCTGTAAAGCAAAAGTAAACATCTTTCTGGTATTCTCTGCATTTAGTTAAGGTCCATATGACATCAGCAATGATCTCTTATTCCATGCTCTCTTCTAGCTTGAATTTCTGCTAATGTACTGCTGTAACTGTTTTTGAATTATCTTCATCAAAATTTTACTCACATGTAATATTAATGATATTGTTTGAAGATTTGTGTATATATATATATATATGTTTATATATATATATGTATGTATGTATACACACACACACACACACACACACACATATATATATATATATATATACACACACACACACACACACACACACACACACACACATATACCTAAAATAATTATGGGTTTTCTTTATATAGTGGTGCAACCTATACTGAAGGCTGTGGTCTTTGATCTTCATCATTAAGTATTTTAAGTCCTCTTCACTTTCAGCAAGCAAGGTTGTATCATCTACATCTAAGTCTCTTATATATACATATATAAACTTATAAACTTCACTGTTTTTGCTTCTCTGAAAAATGTAGCCTAAGACACTTGCTTAAAGTCAAGAGGACTTGAAATACTCATTGATGAAGATTGAAGACTGTAGCCTTCAGTATGGATTGCATCTCAATGTAAAGAAGACGAAAATCCTCACAACTGGACAGATAAATAACATCATGATAAACAGAGAAAAGACTGAATTGTCAGACTTTATTTTTCTTGGATCCACAATCAATACTCATGGAAACAGCAGTCAAGACATCAGATGATTTACTGCATTAGCAAACTCTGCTGCCTTAAGACCTCTTTAGAGCATTCATGAGCAAAAATGTCAGTTTGAGGACTAAGGTGTGCCTGACCCTCACCGTGGTGTTTTCAATCTCTTCATATACCATATACATGTAAACTGTCAACAATGAGTAACAAAGACCATAGAGAAATCATTGCATTTAAATTATGGTACTGGCCAAGAATACTGAAAGTACTATGAACTGCCAGAAGAAGAAACAAGTAAGTCTTGGGAAAAGTGCAGCCAAATTACTCCTTACAAGTAAGGATGGTGAGACTTTGTCTCATACTTTGAGCATGTTGTCTAGAAGGATAATCTCTGGAGAAGGACATCATGCTTGGTAAAGTGAAGGGTCATTGAAAAAGAGGAAGACCCCCAATGAGATGGATTGGTACAGTGGGTTCAAGAATAACAACACTTGTGAGGATGGTGCAGGACTGTGCAGTGTTTCGTTTGTTGTACCAAAGTTTCCTGTGAGTGGGAACCAGCTCAACTGCACCTAACAACAATAACATAGAAAAAAAGAGAAAACCCTGTGCACAGGACTCCTCTATGACCCAGCAACCCTAGGCATACACCCAAAAGAAGTGAAATCAAGGCTGCAAACTTGTACACTGATGTTCACTGCAGCATTTTTCACAATGTCCAAAAGGTAGAAACAACCAAAATACCTATCGACAGACAAATAGATATGCAAAATGGAGCAGGCACACACACACACACATATATATACTCAGCCCTGATTACAAATAACATTCTAATGCATGCCACAACATCGATGAGTCTGGAAAACATGCTGAGAGAAATATGTCTGTAACTAAAAGGGAGATACTGTCTGATCTCATTTTCATGAAATCGGCAAATACTTGTATATAGAAACAAATGTGATTATTGGTTAAGAGTGAGATGGAAGGGAGAAAGAAAGGGTTTGTTTTTTGTTTTGTTTTCTCCTTAGGCAGTGTTGAGTTTATATGAATGGTGTTGAATGATTTGGAAAGTGATAGCAAAAGGTTGTATAATAAGAAAAATGCAATCAGTATCACTGAATTAAGAAATTATAAGAATTGGTCAACTGACAAGAGCCCTGTTGTATATATTTTTTAAGCACAATTTAAAAATCAAGCAAAAATAAACTAAACCCTATAGAGCAATTGTATCCCGACACACGGGCTCACCATAAGAGTTGACTGGACAGCAACTCATTGGGTTGGGTTATTAGATGTTGTCTGTGAGCACAGAGAATGGCAGACGGGCTTAATGGATGTGTTTCATCAATGAAAGGGCATAGCCTCGGGTGATCTTTCTCAGACTTGGTTCCCCATCACCAAGAAGGGAACAGGCCTTAGCAGTTTTTGCTTCTGAAAATACCACTATTCCTAAAGGTTTATTTTCTTCATTACGTCATTAAAAAAAAAATCTAGTTTTAAGAGTTTGAAAGGAGGAAAGGAGAGAACAGATGGTTGTGAAGGAGGAGGGTGAAGCAAGGGAGGAGCAGGGAAGACAGGGAGGGCCTTGGAGGCCATGCACTCAGAAACACTTGTCCACACCATCATAGTTACCTATATCCTGCCCATAGTCCTGAGCTCAGTACAGTGCCAAGTACAGTGGGGACCAACCCCCCAAAGAAGGGGTGAGACTTGTTCTCCAGCCCCACAGAGCTTACACTTACAGCAAGTGCTAGACTACCTGGCACAGAATAGATAGGCAGTTAAGACTGAGTGAGAAAAATTAGCAAGAGGAAAATGCAGAAATGGGAGATTGCTTTAGCAGGGCAGGGTCCAGGTGCAATATAGAGGATATAAAATATTTAAATAGAGCGAGGGAAGACACAGCCTGCATGGGGAGAGTATGAACCAGAGCTTGGAGAGGGAAGCATATACATCAAATGCAAAGAGTAAAGGAGGTCCAGTGGAGGAGGAATGTGTGTATGTGTGTGTTGATAACAGAGACAGAGGGGATGATATGGTAGCCAGAGTTTGGGCCACTATGGTAGGCAATAGAGAGCCAATAAAGTCCTAGGAGTCCTTGTGTGGCACTGTAGGATTGCTAACCACAAGGTGAGCAGCTCAAACCCACGAGTCACTCCTCAGAAACCCTGTACAGGATCGCTACGTCAGAACTAACTCAACGGCACTTAACGACGACATTGATCCTTCTAAGAAACCCTAGTGGCATAGTGGTTAAGCATTCAGCTGCTAGGTTCAAATCCAGCAGGTACGCTGTGGGAGAAAACTGTGGCTGTCTGCTCCGTAAAGATCACAGTCTTGGAAACCCCATGGGGCAGTTCTACTTTGTACTATAGAGTCACTGTAAGTTGGAATTGAACCGATGGCAATGGATATGTTTCTTGTCGGTGCAAACTGGACTGTTAAGCACCTGGCTGTTAACCAAAAGGTTGCCAGTTTGAGTCTGCCCAGCATCACCTCAGGAGAAAGCATAGTGATCTTGTTTTAAGAAATCAGGCACAAACCCTATGGAGCGCACAGTTCTCCTCTGATACCCACGAGGTTGCTCTGCATTAGAATCAACTTGATAGCAACTGTGGGGTTTGCTTTTATGGGTCTTCAGGTATCCAAGGAGGACTGGTATGTTCTAAAGCAAAGTTTCAAAAGTTTTATCTGGCGGTTATATTCAGTTGTATAAGATAGGTTGGAAAGGGAAGAGAGAATTATGGGAACTGAGCCACCCAAAGCAGCCTGCCATTAGATTCATCTCCTTTTCTCTTACAGCATTCTTTCATATGGCCCCTCTCGCTGGCTGAGTTTTTCCTCAGACCACATCGCTACTCATCAAAGAAAACAGGACTCTCCGTGATGGCCGTGTCTACTCTTGCCTATATTGGCAGGTAAGAACTGGGACAGTCCAGTTAAGCTTGTCAGCTAGGGCTCTGTGAGATAGTCCATGAAAGGAAACTGTTCTGTCAAAATCCCTTTATCTTGGGTCAACAAGGATTTAACCATTTTTAAATCTTCAGGTGAGAAGATAATTGTTTCATTTTGATATTCATAGAGACAGTATCTGCACAGAAACCCACAAGTATACCACCTCCATCTCAAGCCATGGTTCCTCTGTCTCTCAAGTATTAGTAATTATAATGATGGTGGTGGTGTTAAATGCCTTCAAATCCATTTTAACTCACAGCAACCCTGTACGGGGTATATATATGTGGAATCCTGCTATGGTGCTACGGGTTAATGCATTGGACTGCAAAGTCATTTGAACCACAAAGTCGGTGGCTCAAGCTCACCAGCCTCTCCTCAGAAACCCTATACAGAATTGCTATGGGTCAGAACCAACTCAACAGCACTTAAAACAACAACAAATATATGTACAAGGAGCTCTGGTTGCATAGTGGTTATGACTCGGGCTGCTAATCTCATGGCCGGCAATTTGAAACTGCCATAGGTTCCTCAGGAGAAAGATGAGGCTTTCTGCTCCTATAAAGATTTATAGTCTCAGAAACTCTATACAGGGTCACTATGGGTGGGAATCGACTCAACGGCACTTAACAACAACAGCAACATATATACATATATGGTGTGTATATATATATATCTGGTAGCGTAGTGGTTACGAATCGGGCTGCGAACCTTAAGGTCAGCGCTTCGAAACTACCAGCTGCTCCACGGGAGAAAGATGAGACTTTCTACTCCCGTAAGGATTTACACCCTCAGAAACCCTGTACAGGGTCGCTATGGTCGGAATCGACTTGATGGCACATAACAACAACAACTATATATTTATATATATATATATATGTGTGTGTGTGTGTGTGTGTGTATACATATATATACACACACGCACGCACATATGGAGTCCTGATGTGGTGCTGTAGGATAAAGCACTGGACTGAAAAGTTGGTTTGAACTGCAAGGTTGGCGCCTCAGAAACCCTATATAGGGTTACTGTGAGTCGGAACCGTCTTGGTGGCACTTAGCAACAATGATATATATATGTGTGTGTGTGTGTTATATGTGTGTGTCACATCTGTGTATATCACACATGTGTTTACAGGTGTGTGTTACACGTGTATTACGTGTGTGTGTATTACGGTGTATATGTATTATATATATAGATACATGTCCAAATGAATTTATTATTTATTATGTCAGAATTATTTGGAAAGGACATAAGGACATTCCCAAAAAGAATGATTTGGGAAAGGCCACTTCCCAAGAAAATGTCTATAATTAGCATGTTTGGATGGCTGAATCATCGAAAGCCTCTAAATATATACCATTTAGAAAGGAATTCCACGGTTGCAGTATGCTACTTTTTACCTGTTCATTTGCTTCAACATCTGGCACTTGAGTTCCTAGAGGGCATTTGGACAGTTGCCCAGGGGCCTGCAGAGCAGAGTAGCTGGGACGTGGAAGATGATTTAACAAGCAGGTCTAGGTTTCATCATTCAGCCACCTGGTGACACAGATTCTCAGAAATACTCCCCCGTGATACAGAATCAGGGGAATGTGCTGGGCCTTCCAGTTACTGATTTTTGTATTCTAGAAGCTTCCATCAAAAACAAAGTAAGAGGGACCTCATTTCCTCTTCTACTTGAATCAAATGCCTCAGCTTACTACCATGAGAGAATTTCTAGGCTATAGTTCAGAGATGGGGGGAGCCCAGGAGGAACTTGGTTGGTTTGCTGAGTTGAGGTGACAGACCTAAACCTTCAGGGAGCCCAAGGCAGCTAGAGAGTTTTCAGGGCTGAATACCAGACAGTAGAGAGACACAAAAAGGGAACTCATGAGATATAAACAGGCCCTCCATAAATAAAGAGCTCTGGTAGTGTAGTGGTTACAAGTTGGGCTGCTAACCTTAAGGTCAGAAGTTTGAAACTACCAGCTGTTCTGCAGGAGACAGATGAAGCTTTTTGCTCCCATAAAGATTTACAGCCTCAGAAACCCTGTACAGGGTCGCTATGAGTTGAAACTGCCCCCATGGCATACCACCACCACGCCACCAGAACCTTTGTACCCAGAATCATGCTTTTGTACTCCTACTGAAAAGGCAGGTCAGATTCAATACCTGCAGATCAGAAACTAAAGACATTATATTCCCTCTGTGATTTAGATTTTCATGTCTGAGAGTCTGGGAAATCCTCCTTTCTATGTAGGTAAAGGGTAGAGTAGGAGCCCTGGTGGTGTTGTGGGTTCAGCATTCAGCTGCTGACCACAAGGTCTGGGGTTCAAACCTACTCTGTGAAAGATGATACTGTCTGTTCCCATAAAGATTTACACTGAGGACCAGTTCTACCCTGTTTTATCAGGTTGCTGTGAGTCAGAACCTACTCCATGACAGTGAGTTCAGTTATTTTGTGTGTTTTTTGTTGTTGTTTTCCTCGTATAAGGGGGAGAAGAAGACCAGGTGGTGCCATGGTCAAGCACTCATCTGCTAACTCAAAGGTTGATGGTTTGAACCCACTAGCCTCTCCACAAAGGAAGATATGGCAATCTGCTTTTGTAGGATTGTTGCCAAGTTGGTTCTGATTTATAGCAACCCTGTATAGGGGTTTCTGAGGAGCGGCTGGTGGGTTTGAACTATCAGCCTTGTGGTTGACAGTCCAGTGTTGATTCTACAGCACCACAACAGGAGTCCTTTGTAAGATTACAACCTTGGAAAATCCTGTGGGGAACTTCCATTTGTTCTATAGGTTACTATGAATTGGAATTGCCTTGTGGCAACAGGTAGGTGTAGTTTAGTTTGGGGTTGTAGCAACAACAGAAACACCCCACTCCTCGCCATTCTCATGCCATCAGTGTTTGTAAGTGCCATCGAATCAGTTCTGACCCATAGCAACTCTGTAGAGGGTTTCGAGGAGCAACTGCTGACCTTGAATCACTGACCTTGTGGTTCAAACTGACCTGGCAGTCCAGCGCATTAACCCACAATGCCACATGGAGTTTAATTGAAAACAGTGCTCTGTTAGCAATGAATGCCAAAGAGAGACACATTTCCAAAGACTGGCTTTAGTAGGGCCTGTTTGGTGGCCTTCACCAGCCTTTGTCTCAGAGTTTATAACCTTTTGCCGAAAACTCAGACAGATGGTTCCTCCCTAACCCTTTTCCCTCCCTTTCGAACATAGTGTTTGACCCTCTCTTCCTCCTACATCCCTCTTCCTCTGACTATCCAAATTCTCCTATGCTGATGAAGACACTTGTTCAGTAAAGTGTTTTATTCCCTACCCCAAACCTCCAGTGATTTACACTGTTCTCTAGCCTGGGGCCTTAGCACTTTAATAAAGGACACTTTAGAAAAGAATGCTGCCTGCAGTGCTGTGTTGAGAAGGATGCTGAGGGCATATATAACCCTGCCAAGTAAGGGGTCTTTGATTATTTAGCAGTGTGCTGGACTGCAAGGTCAGTTTGAACCTCAAGGTAGGTAGGCAGTTCAAACCTACTAGCCACTCCTCGGAAACCTTATAGAGAGAGGGTCGCTGTGGCCTGGAACTGACTTGATGGAGCTTAACAACAAACATTGATAGAGAAGAATGGGTTGTTGTTGTTGTAAAGTGCCGTAGGATCAATTCTGACACTTAGCGACCTTGGTTAGGGTTTCCAAGGAACGACTGGTGAGCTTGAATCACCAACCTTGCAGTTCAAACTGACTTTTTGTAGTCCAACGAATGAACACACCAGGACCCCAAATCCAAAGAAATAAAGATAAAATATCTGGGACCTGCTGTAGGGTAAGAGTGCATATCCAGTCCTAGCTGCATTTGTGGTGGCCTCACGTGTGTCCAGCTAGAACTGCAGTTCACTGGGTTTTCAATGACTTATTTTTCAGAATTACATCACCAGATATTTCTTCTGAGGCACCTCTAAGTGAACTCAAACATCCAACCTTTCAGTTAGCAATATAGTGCTTAATTATTTGCACTACCCAAGGAGCTCTGGTAGCATAGTGGTTACGAATCGGGCTGCGAACCTTAAGGTCAGCGGTTCGAAACTACCAGCTGCTCCACAGGAGAAAAATGAGGCTTTCTACTCCCGTCAGGATTTACACCCTTGGAAGCCCTGTACAGGGTCGCTATGGGTCGGAACCGACTCAGCAACACTTTGCACTACCCAGGGACTCCCAAGCATACAGACATAAAAATATTCCTTTCTGTAGTACGTGTGGCCTAGAAAGAGGATGGTGACTGGCTGATTGTGCAATGAATTTGTATACTGGGCTTCTTTGGTGGGGTTTAGTCTAACTTACGTTTTCCTGCCAACTGTAACAAACATTTAGAGTTCACACATGAGGGTGCTTCAAAAGTTTGTGGAAACTTGGAATGAAAAGCTAATGGCATATCCCATGAACTTTTTGGAGCCCTCTTGTATAAGTTAGAATTTTGACCTGTTCCTGATTTCTACCTGTGCACTTGGAAGTGGATCCTCATCGGTCCACATGTCTAACCCTTTCCACTCTTTTCCTCTGTGGACCAAGAAGGCAAAGAGTCCCTGAGATGGAACTAGAAGTGGCTGTAAGGTGGGAGGCAGGGTCAAATGGGCTTGACCTATCAGTGCCTGGAGCCGGCTTGACCTATCAGTGCCTGGAGCCAGGTTCAGACAGTACAGGGCAGGAGGGTGGGGCAGGCGTAGTGTGTTGTATTCACATTCAGTTATTCCTGAGCACCAGTCACTTGGTAAGACCCATAGACACACAGTGTATAGCAGTGCTTCCCTGAGGCTGTGTCTGGGAGGGAAGAGAGAACAAACAACATGCAGATGATGAGATCTGACAGGTAGGTAGATGGTAGAATGGATCACATGGGAGGAATATTCAGGGCTGGCTTCTTACAGGAAGCTTTGTCTAAGCTGAGACCCAAAGAATGAGTGAAAATAAGTCAGCTGAGAGATG